AGACAGACAGACAGACAGACAGACAGACAGACAGACAGTGGTCTCTTGTGTTCAGTTTAAAATAGAGAATCAGAACCACCATGTAGTCTGGAATGAGGACACATTTTAATATTTATATATATTTATACTGGTGGAGAGGATAGAAGAATAGAAGCAGTGAAGTTGTCTGAATGAACGTTAGCGCGTCAGCAGGGAGCTCTACTCTACTGAAGCTGCAGACTTTAAGTTCCTCTTCAGCTCATAGACTCCTCCCACTTACTGCACAAACCATAACCTGAAAAGGTTATTGTGCAGCTGAACTCTGAGAACATCACTGAAGATCTGAGGAGCTTCATCTTCATCACGAGGAGGAAACTGTGTTTCAATGTTTCATCAGTGAAGAGGATTTAAGCTTCAGGTAGAGAGAGAGAGAGACAGATATACTGTTGAGGCTTAATGCCTCAGAGCTCAGCAGGAATGTTGGATTTAAAGAGGTCGCAATGAGGGTGAGGAGGAAGAGGAGGAAGAGGAGGGGAGGGAAACAAAGAGGTTACAGCAGAAGAAGAGAGGAGGAAGAGAGAAAATAAGAGGATGAAGCAGGAGGAGGATCTCAGCTTCCTCTTTGTGATCTCAGGAATAGTTTGAAAAGCTTTTTTATTATTTTATATACACAGAGTTTGTTCTGAAACATCACAGACGGAAACATGGAGAGGAGGAAGAATTATTAAGAGAGAGAGAGAGAGGAAGCAGAAAGAAGAGAGATTATGTGTCAGACTAAAAAGAGAGAGAGAGGCTCAAACAGTATGATCAGTTGTCCTTCAAAGATACGTTGATTGATTTACAGACTTTCTCCTTTATTTCTATAAACTAATGAAGACTTTGTCGACTCTAAGTAAACTGATGAAAAATGTATCGTGTTTGTCCTGAGGGGGCGCCAGAGGAACGATCATTGGGTAACAAGGGTTTATCCTCCAGGGAGAAGGATCGGGATCAATGTGACCGGTGGAGTTGAGTTTCATGTCCGAAACTACGGCGCAAAACCGACGTATCACGCCGTGTTTTATTACATACGAAGTCAATGTAACGACGCAAATTGACAGAAATTTGAACTGGGCAACATTAATGACGCGAATATGCGGAATTTATTGGCTGGAGTTGATGTATTTGATGTAATATCTTTGGTATTAACAGTAACGTGGCTGAGGTATTATATACAGTTATATACAAGCATTTTAAAAGCTGTTCATCTCGCTAACAGATCTGTCATGAATTCAGACTTTTTACAAATCAGCATCATGATGTAGTGATGTTGGGATCCTTTTAATCCGTTTATTGAAACCAAATCACTGCTAAACAGTTTATTTTGGGTTCATAGCTCTGCTGCTAGTTACAGTGAATACATCTCAGTGAAACTCACCAACACGTCACGAACACAGACACAACATGTACTAACCATCAAAACTGGGTATTTCGGTCATGGTTAACGAAATGTTGTTGGTATGGCGGTAAGCCCCGCCTCCTCTCCAGCGAGAATGACCCAAATAAACCCAAATTACCTGCAGGTCAAACTCGTGCGAGTACCGCGAGGCAAAAACACACCATAAATTACCTAAATGTCCGTTTTTATGCAGATGACACCATTTTATATGTCAACTCAGACTCTCGTCTTCAGTTTGCCTTTGATGTTTTACATTTATCTCTTTCTAATGATAGACTTGTTTTAAATGCAGATAAGACCAAGTACATGGTGTTCTCAACAGCCATCAACATTTGGCTCAGAAATGTTGAATCAAACTGGACTTAGTCCTTTCATACTCGTCACCGTATCACAAGTTTGGATGGACTTCCTTACAGGAAGAAATAATCACCTCATGATATTTATCGGAACTTTTCTTGATAACTACACGATCCAATAACATCATATTCAATTAAATATTCTAATGTTGGCAGAACTAGTTTCCAGTATTCTGCTGCTTTTAAATGGACTGAACTACAAACTGCTCTCAGACAGGATTCATTCATTCCTCTTGGTGTTTGTAATACTTTGGTGATGTTTGAATGTTGTGTAAACTTGTTGTTTTCTGATTTTGTGTGTGTTCAGGACAGTGACACAACAGCTCTGTGTATAAAGAACAGATCAGCGTTCGAGCATCAACACAACCACCTGCTGCACTGTCTGGAGAAGACGACGGTGAGAATCTGAAGTTCAGATCTGCTCTTAGACTCTATGGAGCTTAAAGATGCCTTCAGCGTGTCGTTATGTTTGCAGGCAGCCTCGATATAAACTCAGGCTTTCACTGGATGTTCCTGATTACTTACTTTCAAGTTTAAATTGAAAGTTTCTTATTGAGTTTGCAAAACAATGTCTTTAAAATGATCTTCCTCAGCAGATTGTCATAGAAATGTACATTTTGAAATGTATATTTTACAAAATCTTCTCATCCATGTCGTTAGAAGTTGAAAGCAAAACCTTTAAAGCTTCTTCAAATGTTTCAATTCAACTTTTTTAATAAGCTGTTAATCTCAGCTTCTCCCTTCCTCTCCTCACAGAACCACGAGTTCACCAATGAGATGAACTACAGCGAGCTGTGCATGACGGAGTCGGTGGGCTACAGGACCAGTCGCAGCACCTCCCTGTCCAGCCAGCAGGGGGCGCAGAACAACTCCACCGGCTGCTGCCCCCGCCGGGCCCGGAGGAGAGCCGCCATGCGACTGGCCAACTCCACGGTGTCCGTCAGCCGGGGCAGCGTCCAGGAGCTGGACACCCTGCACATCAAGTCCACCTCCATCACACCACAAACGTACATGAACACACACAACTGGAGAGAAGACACGCAGATAAAGCACAATGAGAAAAAATGAACTTCAGATAGAATTTGGTTCTGAGATTAGAAATAAACAAAACGGGTCCAAAAGCAGAGCCTTGATGTACTCCACCTTTACTGCATTTTAATGGTTATTTTACCATTAAAAACACATCTTTCAGATAATTAAGACTTGAACTTACTTATTACATTCCAACAGTTGGTAGCATATGAAGCAACTTCATTTAAGCCTCAAGATGAGCAGAAATTATTTGATCAAGTTGGCGCATTTTCCGTTTAACGCAAACTTTCCCTCAGCTTCTAACATCCAGGAAGACATTGCAGAAGAAAAAAAGGTTTTATTGTGTTTTGAAAAATGCAAAATTATACTGCACATCATCAACATATTTGTATTCCGTTCCAAGAAAACAGAGAATTCATTTTCTATTTGACTTAAAAAGCATCAGTGACACACTAACGCTGCAGCACTGACGGGGTTCACTGCATCTTTTCAACATTTTCTTGGTTCCTCATTTGAAATTAAAACAATCTCTGTGTTTGTTTCTCTCCTCAGTCGTTCCAGTCTGAACGCCCAGATGAGCGACCTGAAGCTGAACTGCGGGGAACCAGATTTCACCGCTGCCATCATCAGCATCCCGACGCCGCCGGCCAACACGCCCGACGAGAGCCTGCCGCCATCGCCCGCCTCGATCCCCGGCATCCTGCGCAACACCCAGGCCACCGCCTACACCCACGACACCTTCAAAATCTCCTCCTTATAACCTCCGACCACGCCCGCGACTCCCCCTCCCCTGGACACCCACCCTGCCGCCCCACAGCCGACCTCCCTGTGAGCTCTGAACCTCCTCTGGATCCTCTGATCCTGATACCCGGGGCGCCGCCAGCAGAGATCTCGAGTATGCTCGTTGCTTTTCACTTCCTCTCACTATTGTTGTGGATTAACGGAGACACAAGGGACAAATAACCATAACAGGAGCTGGGAAATCAAGCAAAAATGAATGGTAAGGAATTTGCAAAGAAAAACAATAATTGCTCTCCCGAAGAACCATTCCAAGAATTCATTTTACCCCAACACACACTTTTGGGACGGTTCATCTAATGGAAACGATGCCAAGATTCCCAAAGAAAGACATCAAGCCCCCTGAAAACCAACAAACAGGTTTCATTGGGTCAGTTCTTTGCATCTCTACGGGTACCACATGGCTGCGAGGACAATGGGCTTGTATTTCAGTCTGAACCTGGTGTGAAAGGACCGAGTGGTTTTGGTCTTGACAGTGAAAATCTGAAGGACTGTAGACCAGCTGGAGGATCATTCAGACTCAACCGTTTCAGAGTCAAACTCATCTTTGATTGGATAAAGACGAGACCATCTGCAGACAACCAAGCGACCCTGAGCGGCTTCCAACTCATTGATTTGTTTGGATGCCGTTGTGGGGAAACAGGTGACAGTAATCAGGCCGATACAGCTGCACGATGATACTTGAGGTTTGGTGATATTAACTTCTGTATTGGACCGCTTATGTGTAGAGGTTGTAGGTTTAAACCCCACAAAAATGGGTTGCGATGTCTTAGAAGAGGATGATTCTGAAGTCTGTACGGATGATCTTTCCACTGGCTCTGATTCAGCAGCTTCAGGTCAACTCTTCAGAGTCTGGTTGTAAGAGGTGACCGAACACGAAGGACCATCCAGACGCTGCTGAAACGCACCAATCATAACACGTGAACCCGGACTCAACTGGGCTTAACTGATCTATGCTGAGCCTGAATACTGTTCACTACTCTGAGCTGATCCTTAAGGAGCTGAACTGGACTCAAAGGACTTACCTGTTTTTTTCTAAATGGGACTGTAGAGAGAAAAGGGGTTAAATGAGGGATTCTGGATCAATCCGGTCTGATGTGGACTCGTCTGGTCCGGCTGTAGCTCACAGGTGTTTGACGTCCAGAGGAACGAAAGCGTTTTACTTTTCAAAATATGCAACATTACAACAAGCAGGAAAATAGCATCAACATGAAGAGAATAATAATAATAACAATAATAATATGTGTGTTATAAGAGTACAGTAATCATTGCAGGGAACATCATGTAAAGCAACTAGAATCCATTTGTTCTGTGATCTCTTCAGTGAGAGAGAGAACACAACGTGTATTCTGCAATAGATTTGAATGGGAACGAGAAGCGCGACGCCACAAAGGCTCTTCAGCATTAAAGTCACGTTCGTCCCGATGAGGTGCATTCTGGGAGAAAAAGAAGGTTTGTTTTCAACACATTCATGGAGAAGTTACTTCAGTTTTATTCATCAATGATGCTCAATACCTTCAGCTCCTCAGTGGATCAAAATATCTAAAGAAGAGATTACATCTGTTTGACATCTTTTCACCTGTAGATCAGTTTTGTGGATTTTATTCATCTTTTTCCCCAAAGTTTAAGTTAACTGTTAGGAGAAGCAGTAGGAGCCATGGAGGGGTTACTGAACAGGCCTATCGGGCACAGACCCAGGGGCCCAAAGTGTCAGGGGCCCCCCTGGTCTACAAAGTGTCTCTCAAACAGACATGTACCGACCAGGACTCACAATGACCAGAAAGAAACATAAAAGGACTACAAAGAGACACAAAACAACTACAAAGAGACAGAAAACAACTACAAAGAGACAAAACTACAAGAAGACCTAAAACAACTACAAAGAGACAGAAAAATACAGAAGAGAGGCTAACCATGGACACAGACTTTGTGTGTTGATGTGGAGCAGAGGTGGTGGGGCCTCATGTCTGGGCCCAGGAGCCCTTTGTCTCTTTGTAAGTGTTATCTCAGGTTTGTGTGATTTGCAGGTGAAAACATGTCTTAAAACTGATTTATTTTCACACTGGATGTAGAACAAGTAGAATGTTTCTTTAGATCTGAACCTTCATTGTACGCCACGTCGATGTGATGAAGCTGAAGCAGCTCCTCCGTCTGTCCACAGCAGTTAGAAAGTGAAGTCCTTCCATCATTAATGTGTCTCCTGACATGAACTCACATAGTAAAAGATTGATCATCTTCACAGTCCTAACGACAGAAGAACGAAGGAGACAGACGTTTGACAGATTATATCTGAGGAGATATAAAAGTCAAGAGAACGTTGTGGGTGAGTTGAGAAGAACACGAGGAGACGATAAACTGGGTGATTTCAACACATCGAGCCGCGGAGACACTGGAGAAAACATCTGAGGACGTAGAAGTGTTTCCTGAAGAGGAAGATAAAAACACTCCTGTGGAAGATTTAAAGCTTCTCTTCTTACTTCCTCCTTCAGCCCAGATTCCTGTAGAGACGGACTGATGGTAGAAACCTGAGGACGCAGTAGAACAGAAGCTTTCTTTCGATGCACAGGTGCAGAGTGTCCACGCAGTGATTCACAGGTGTGTTGAAGACGACCTTCTTACAGAGCGCACGCCGTCGGCCACGCGTGACTTTCAGCTGAAGCGTTTCCTCGACCCGTTCACAGGAGACACAGACGAACATACTGTAACATGTTTTGTATCATAAACGTTCACCTGCATCTTCCAATCAAAATCCTCAAACCAAAAAAAGAAATAAAAAAAGAGCAGAAAGTCGTGCATGAGCCTCGTACAGTAGAAGTAGCACTACTGACCTTAGGAACCATATCAGAGAAGAAGAGACAGAAGAACACACACCACTAGTCTTCATCATCCCTTCTTTTGCATGACGACTCATTATTTGCTTCTCTCCTCTCATTGGTTGGTTTCCCCCCCCCCCGTCCCGAGACTTTTCAAAGACGAGTGTTTGCACCACGAGACGTGTACGTTAAAAGAATAAACAGATGAATTTCAAAATAAAATCATTCAGGCATGTTCCTCGCCAGAATGCAAAGTGTGTGTGTGTGTGTGTGTGTGTG